AGAGGCTGTGTGATTTACATGACTTGGAGCAGGCAGTGTGGGTACCGTTACTAGCAGGCAAACTGTCAGGTCGGGCAGCAGAGGCCTATCGGGCAGTACCCAGGGAGGACAGCAAGGATTATGACAAGGTAAAACGGGCCATACTAGAACGATATGCCATTACCCCGGAGGCATACCGGCGCAAGTTTAGGGGATTGCGCAAACCTGATAAAGACTCTCATGCCGAGTGGACCAAGTCCACAAGCTGGACCAAGCATCACAGGGGTGGATACAAGCGAGCCAAGCCACCACTATGGAGGAGTTGCGACAATTGATGCTGCTAGAACAATTCTTTAATGGCTTGTCTCCAGAGGCACAAGAATGGGTGAGAGACCGCAAACCCCTCACCCTAACCGAAGCGGCCCGGCTGGCTGACCAACATTTAAACAGAGGTTACCCTCGACCCACCGTTCAACAAAGTACAGCTACCCCTACAGCAACCCCCTTTCAACCAACCCCAGGGAGCCAACCTCCACCCTCCAGATATAATGGCAGGGCCAATATACAATGCCATACGTGCAGGCAAGGGAGTGCACTCAGAACCGGAGCCGGCAAGCATGGAACCAAGTGCGGCTAAACCCAGCACCCAAGGCAGCCGCTCACCACTACCAAGCGGAGCCAGCCATCTAGGAGATACTGAGCACTCAGGCCGAAGAACCCCTGGGGATACTCCACGAGGTGATGTCGGTTCAAGCCACCGACAACAGGCAACATCATCACCAGCTAGTGAGTCTTAAGGGGAAAGAAGTGCAAGGGCTCCGGGATTCAGGAGCCACCCTGACTTTGGTAGCACCCCATTTGGTTGCAAGTTCAGCACACACCGGCAGATCCATAGTGGTACGAGTTGCCGGCGGAGCAGTGTACAGACTACCCACTGCCAAAGTTCATTTGAATTGGGGTGTTGGGGAGGGGATGGTAGAGGTGGGCCTGATGCAGAAGTTACCCGCGGATGTTGTATTGGGGAACAACCTGTGCCAGATGACTTCTGCTTTTATACCCCAGGCTCCACACCATCCAGTGACCACAAGACAACAGGCTTGCACCACGGTTCCACCAGCACACTCTGAGGCTCAGGTAAGAGACAGTGATCCTCACCCGACACGTATGACCTGGGATACCCCGACTAAATTTGAGGGGGAGGTGAAGATAGACCCCACGTTACAAGTGTACAGAGACAGGGTGAGCACAGACCAGGCCGGATTAGAAGGGGAGCGGTATACCTGGGAGAAAGGGTTATTATACCGCATTGACGAAAGGGTTGTGTGGAGGTCGGTCCTGGTGACTACTAGACAGCTAGTGGTCCCCAAAAGTATAGACAAGAACTGCTTCGGATTGCCCACGACATTTCCTTGCCTGGGCATCTGGAGATGACACGCACTTGATACCGGTTGACCCATGCCTTTTTCTGGTCAGGGAGATCTACGGATGTGTGGCAGTACTGCCAGTCATGTGACATTTGCCAGCGAGTGGGCAAGAGGGGTGACCGCCACAAGGCCAAATTATGCCCCCTGCCCATCATTGAAGAACCCTTCAGTAGAGTGGCCGTAGATATAGTAGGCCCCTTGCCCAAGCCCAGTCCCTCTGGCAAGAAGTATATTTTAACTGTAGTGGACTACGCCACCTGGTACCATGCGGAAACTGTGGCCGAGGCCTTAATGAAAAAAATTCTCCCAGGTAGGGTTCCCCCAGATCATCATATCTGATAGGGGTACCCAGTTCACCGCCGAGGTCACCCAACAACTCTGGAAGATGTGGCATTAGTGAATTCCGCATACCACCCCCAGTCCAATGGGTTATGCGAAAGATTTAACGGTACCCTGAAGCAGATGCTCCGTACATTTGGAGAGGCTCATAAAGACTGGGAGCGATTCCTACCCCATCTGCTATATGTGTATAGAGAGGTACCCCAAGAGTCGACGGGATTTTCCCCCTTTTAATTGCTGTTTGGGAGAAGGGTGCGAGGGCCGTTAGACTTAATTAGAGAGCACTGGGAGGGGGAGAGTAGTACAGATGGGACACCCATTGTACCATACGTGCTGGAGTTCAGGGACCGCTTGGAGGCCTTAACCCAGGCCGTACGCACCAACCTCCAGGCGGCCCAACAACGCCAGCGCCGCTGGTATGATAGGGGAGCCAGAGACCACAGCTTTCAAGTGGGACAGAAGATTTTGATTATAAAACCTGTCCGCACAGACAAGCTGCAGGCCATCTGGCAAGGCCCATACCAGGTGGTGGAACAGAGATGGGACACCACCTACGTGATCGGCCCCTGCTCAGGGGTAGGGAAGAGACGCATGCTCCACGTGAAAACCCTATCATGAGAGGATAGAGGACATGGCAGCGATATGCGTCTCAGCCTCTGAAGATCAGGAGAACCTGCCGCTTCCTGACCTATTAGAACAGGATGACCAAGCAGAGCCCGCCACGGGTGTTCAACTGGGGGAGCGGCTAAGCCCTCAGGAGCGGGCCCAGGTACAAGAGTTGATCGCGGCTAAGGGAGCCACTTTCTCCAATTTACCTGGGTACACTCCACTGGCCACTCACCCAGTTGAGACCTCCGGACAGCTACCTATGCGGCAGACCCCATATCGTATCCCTGAAGCAGTCTGGGAACATATGAGGAAAGAGATTGAGGAGATGTTGCAGCTAGGGGTTATTGAACATTCCGATAGCCCCTGGGCATCGCCGGTAGTACTAGTACCCAAGAAGGATGGCACGACATGGTTTTGTGTTGACTACCGGAGGCTAAATGACAAAACTGTGTCTGATGCATACCCGATGCCCCGGATAGACGAGCTGCTGGATAGCATGGCACGAGGCCAGTATCTCACGACCACAGATTTGTGTAAGGGATACTGGCAAATTCCACTAGCCGAGGATGCAATCCCGAAGTCGGCGTTTGCCACCCTGTTTGGCCTGTACCAATTTAGAGTCATGCCATTCGGGATGAAAAATGCCCCGGCGACCTTTCAAAGGATGGTAGATCGGCTACTGGACGGGTTTCAGGAATATGAGTGTGCATACCTGGACGATATCGCCATATATAGCCAGACCTGGGCAGAGCATCTGCAACACATCGGAGCCGTTATTGACCGTATAGGGGAGGCAGGGTTGACGCTGAAGCCTAGCAAGTGTCATATAGGGATGGCAGAGGTGCAGTACTTGGGACACCGGGTGGGGAGCGGGCAACAAAAGCCCGAAACCCGCAAAGATTGAAGCCGTTGCCAAGTGGCCTACCCCTAGGACAAAAACCCAAGTGTTAGCCTTCCTGGGTACCATGGGATACTACCGGACGTTTGTACCTAATTACAGTGCCCAGGCCAAACCCTTGACTGACTTGACCCGCAAGAACCTTCCTCGACAGGTCATCTGGGCCCCAGAGTGTGATCAGGCATTTAACCAACTCAAGACGGCTCTAACTAATGCACCTGTACTTGCAGCTCCTGATCCAACTAAATGCTTTCTTGTCCACACAGACGCTTCAATGTTTGGATTGGGAGCAGTGCTGAGCCAAGTTGGAGCAGATGGCGGAGAACATCCTGTAGCGTATCTAAGCCGGAAACTATTACCACAGGAAGTGAGCTACGCCGCCATCGAGAAAGAATGCCTGGCCGTCGTGTGGGCCCTGAAAAGTTACAGCCGTATCTATTGTGGCAAACCTAGCCACTTGGACAATATACAGAGACTATGGCTTTAAGGGTTGCCTGTATGGTTTTG